CATTGTAAATGAAAGCATGAAATTCAGGTCTAGGCAGGGCCCCCTTTTCAGTGCAAAATCTAAAGCTCCATGCTATCTGGGCCAGATTTATAAGAGAAAGCAGTCCCCTAATGAACCTAATCCTATTAACAGAATTGTCAACTTAGGTTTGTCATCAGAAAGATGTTTTTAGCCATGAGACATTTGATCTATGGACAACTTTTTCACCTTCGGAGTATTCAGTGCATCACCTCCACACAAAACATTTTTTTAAAATTATATAAATGAATATTTTAACTAAAACAACCTGCACCAAACTCTTTTATTCACGTACTTACTGCCTTTTTCCTGAACTGGGATCCAGTAACCAATTAATTTCTGCAAGATCTAAACACAGGGGCTTGAGGTGATGGTGCCCGTGATGTGCAAGAGGAACGTCTGACCACAAGCCTGTCCAAAGACCTCGTCTGCAGCACGGCAGCCTCTTCCCATGGGCCCCCCCCCCTTTCACATCACTGATCTGCGCACATATCCACCGTGCCACCTCACATGCCACCACTCTGTCAGAGCACTGTCACATCGGTGCCATTCTTATGTCCAAGTGTTGGGGGTTGTGCTGTGATACCTGAATTTCTAGCACCTCGGGAAGGGACTGTGTCATCTGCTCCAGGCAGGTGGATCTCTTCCCCTAGTCAAAGCACTTCTGTGGGTACTGCTCTACAAGATTCTCAGCTACTGAACAGCAGGATGTTTTTTGTTCACTGATATTTAGAAGGAGAGAGTATTCAGATGCAACCAGGTGTCTTTTCAATAACAAGTGCTGCTAAAGACATTAAAAAGGAAAGCTTCTCGTCGTGAAAGGGACATGTAGTCATGTAATCTCAGACAGCTCCTGCTCTGTTGTGCTGTGATGGGAAAATTGTTAGGACTTGATTTAACGAATAGCGCCATTCCAGAATTAAAGGATTTTTAACTTGTGTGCAGCCATTACACAAGCTGTAGCTGTGCCACAGGGGACGCGCACTGACCAGGCAGGAGGAGGAACTTGTCTCAGGAGAAGCTCTTCCGTGCATACAGGCTTTAGATAAGCATCTGAAAACAAGCATTTGCTAAGTTTGAAGAATTCTTTTGCTGATCTAAATGTTTTCTTAATAGGCCAGAGTGAAACAGCTGTGGATCCACTGTGGAAAAATGGTGTCACAAGGGCTGTCAGGAGGCAGCGGGATCAGGACTGCTCCCTGGGAAGGTCCAGGCCGGGGCGATGGGGGGACCTCAGCACAAGCAGTGCCCTCACCCCCCGGCACAGCCCCACAGAGCTGGGGCTGGCGGCAGCGTCCAGAGACAGCCCAGGGATCGTCAGGGAAGGAAAAGCATGGTCCGTCCTGGGAAACCAGTCAACAAGCGGGGCTCAGCAGGGGACCACCTTGGCCGAGGCACCGCTGTGACATAGCTTAGGGCAGGACCGGGGGCCTGGCACCAGCTGAAGTGGGGTTTCTGGGCCTGGGGGCTGAGGGGGTTCTCCCTGAAGCCAGTTTGGGCAATGACATGGCGGTACCTACGAGGCCCTGACAGCTGGGGGGGTCAAGCAGCCTCCTCACACCTTCCCTGTGCGCCAACCTGCGATCCCCGTGTGGGAATGGCGCAAGGGGGTGTTTGTGGGGGAGAAGGCTGGTGGTTCCAGCCTGCGGCTCCTCGTACCTACTGGTGAGGTGCCTGCAGCCCTTGGATGGCATAGGTCAGTATGGGGCTGCTGTACCGCTTACCAAAAATCCCACTTCAGGTCAAGGCAAGAGGACTTCTGATTCCGTATGTAACTGGTGCCTTATAGGTGATGAATCCCCGGATCGGGTCTGGATTCACCTGCCTAAGGAACTCTGTGTATAGGCATAGGTAGATTGTATGACAGGATAAGTTAGACATAAGGAAAGCAGTACATCACACAGTGATGCTGGAAAATGGTTTGGCTCCTCTGTGGATTAGTCTGTCAGCTTTGATCTCTTTTGTTTACAATCAGACTTCATATAAACAGAGGTTTAGACTGTCTGTTTTCTGCTTACACCGGCGTATCATGTATGTATAAAGAGCTCTGTATTACATTGCACCTGTAACAAAATGGACCTGAGTCTGACTACACCAGATGCGCAATCAGGGTCAAAGAATATTACTAGGCACTAGGACTCTATCGCCCATTCTGTTGAATTGTCAGAATAGCGTCTGACCCAGTTTTGGCCTGGGCACTCTCCCAAGCAGTTCCCAGGGCCAGTTTGGGAGTTAGGACAGGCATTCCCAACAGGCAGTTAGATGGGACCACCCTGTTTGGTAGGGCGAGAGAGTTCAATAGCTTCGCAGTGGGTTGTTCCAGGCCAGCTGGCCTTGGGGCAAGAGACCAGTGCCAGGCATATTTAATTTACTAGAATAGATGTTGCTTCTGTGTTCTCAGAGATCCTAAAAGAGTGGCTGAACACTTGCAGAGACCTGGAGACTATGGGGGTTGAAGTCATCAGAAGGGAGGCCATCCCGTCCAGAGGGTCTTTCTGTACGGGTTTGTTAGAGCCCATGGCCCCAGCCATCCTGTCCATTAGGTCTGCCTATTTTGGGTGCTCTCTGTAGCCCAAGCGGAGCGTATTCTGAGGCAGGGTAGTGCCTCTGTCACTGCCAGAGCCATGTCTGGCCTTGGGCAAGTAGCAGTCCCCGTGTGTGTTTGTGTGCTGGGGCAGTAGGGTTCTGCACACCCTGCCCACACCGATCGCAAGCTGCTGTCCAAAACTAACAGACACGATGCATTTCCAGCATCACATTTCTGATCCTGGCTTTCAGAAGTGAGCGCTTGGAGCTGCAGGCTCACTGTGCATTTGGACCCTTGCAGCATTAGCCCAGCTTTAAGAACATTCTGTGGGGAAAAATCTTCTGGTCTGTCCTTGTGAGAAAGCAAGTTTTAACTTCTTTCCACCAGTCTTAAAAAAAACAAAACCAAAACCCAGCCAAAATCAGAAACTTAATCCTACATTTCTGTTTCAAATCAAAGTAACAGAACCAGATGCACAAACTGCAGAAGAAAGAGAAGAGGCCACACACATCTTACGTGCTTCTTGGCTTGTTGAGCGACCTTACCCTGTTGAAGCTCATACTAGGTCTATTCAAGGACAGGCTAAAGCGAGTAGAGGCAGGTGACTTGGGCAGAATTGTACTGCTTTAGACTACATCTGAATACGTTCTTCTTTGGTCAGAGAACACTTTGAACACCCAAAAGTGTGTTGTGCATCACATCTCAGACTTCAGTAGGACAGGGGGCTTTGGTGCAAGAAAGTGCCAAACAATTGTTCACATCACCAAAGCGGCCTTTGTGCACGCTGTATGGGCATCTCGCCACATAATATACAGTAGTGTGCAGTGATGATGTCTGAAATGATAAATAGTTCTAAAGAAAAGAACATATTTGATTGTCTGCTTAGGGGGACTTTTTTCAGTAATTAACCCGCGATCTTCTTTTATCATCCTCTACTGCTACTTGGGAGAATTTCAAAAGGGCTGCCTCCTCCTCCGACAGCCAGCACTTGCTGCTTAAAGGCTTAACACATTTTTTCCTGCCACACAATCAATAAAGAATACTTCTGCCGATTGGGATATTGTCTCTAGCTCCCACAGATCTGATAGCAGCGGCCTTTTATCCAAAGGGGTCAAGAGACGTCCTCACCCATTTTAGCCACATAGTAGTAACGATCATGACACACCTCTCCATATTTTCATAAGAGATATGAGGAGAAATCAGGTTAAAGAGAAGTACAGTTATTGCAAACATAACGTTGTGTAAATATATGTAACAGTAACTAGTGGCTATGCAGTCAAGCATCCCAGTCTGCCGGTCCTGGCTAAGGCCTGAGACTACACAGACATTGCTCATATACGTCCTTCCATTCATTCTTGCATTCATTCATTCATGCAAACCCAAGACCCCTCTCACTCTCAAAAACACCTCCTGCTGACAGCATTGCTGCTTATTCATATCAGGCCTTTGCTGCTGTCATGCTTCATTTTGGAGATGTAATGAGGCATTAATGCTTATCTTTGATGTGTGAACTGTGTCAAAATATCCTGTTCTTCTGAGCTCTGGATCCATCAGAATCCACCATAAAACGTGAACAAAATCACCATTGTTTGAAAAATTGACAGCCCCACTGATAGAGCGTTTCAGCGGGCAGGCAGGAAGCAAGTGTGTGTAGCACTTACCGCATCTCAGCCCTTTTAATTGCTTAACCAGTTCCTTCTCCTGTCTCCTTTTGCTTTCTCAGACTCACACCCAACCTCCATCCTTTCTTTTGTTGTCTAAGTCCTCCTATTACCCCACTTACCAGCACTGCAACGCTGCTCTAATTATGTGCCAGGCAGCCCCTGCTCTTCATCACAGCTCAGAGATGCCAACCAAAGACCTAGATATAGTTTAGATGTGGTTTGGGGAAGAGGGGGACTTTTTTTCCAGTAATTCTTTCCTAAGTTTAAGGCATCTTTCTTCAGGAAGGCTTCAGTTTAGTGCTGATACTTCAAATTACCCACCAACGAATGAATAGGGGAATGGTAGCCACCCAGTTTTTCTAAAGCTATTGCTTCATCGACCAAATCACGCAACAGACGACAGCCCAGGCAGTACGTTGCAGCATGTCTTTGGTAGATACAAATAACTTGTAGTGGATTTCCTGCAGTATCAGCACGTTACCACAGTTACCACATACGGCAAAGATTTCTAAAATGGCAAGTGACACTGAGGGCTTCAGTTTTGGCACTATTGAAACCCTCCAAAGAAAGATAATTGATATTGTCTGAAAAATCTTAGGTCTCGTATGGGGGCTGACTGAGACCCTGAATTCACAAGTGGCATCTGAAAACTTTGGCTGAAAAATCTGTGCGTATGTTTTGGTTCTCCCTAAAATAAACAAATGAACGAACTAAAAAGAGACTCATCGGTAGATCCTGGGATAGCAGAAATACTCTCATGTACTGTTTTTATTTTCTGCTTTTTCTATCAGAGTGAATTGGATGAGAATCAAATACAGATGGCTGGAGATGATGTGGGCTTGCCAGAAGACCTTCAGAAGATGGTGGCAGAAGATCAGGTGGAGGAAGAGGACAAGGATTCTATCCTGGGACAGCTGCAGAACATCCAGAATATGGACATGGATGCGATCAAAGAAAAGGCACAAGCCACCTTCACTGAAATAAAGCAGGCGGCTGAGCAGAAGTGTTCTGTGATGTAGAAGAGACATCACTGTCCAAGGGTTGTGAATTCAGTCTTGTCTCACAGGGGCTGCAGAGTCAGGGCAGGCAGAGGAGCGCACTTAGCTCTATAGCATTAAATGTAAATATAGAAAAGAGAGAGAGAGAGACTTAAAAGCCCAAGGGGGGATCAAAATTTACATGCTCTGACTGCTTAATGAGAAGTTAGAACTGATCCTCATTTTTTAACATAACATTTTTCCCCATGGAAAAAAAAAATGGCTTTAAAAAAGCTAGTACTGGGGAAAAAATGTGCCTTTTTCCATTTTCTCAAAGTGATCAAAATGCTATTAAATGTGTATTTTTTAGCAAAATTGTGCTTCTAGTGCAGAACATGTAGGTAACCACTCATTTAATACTGATTTCAGAAATAAATACATATATTTCTAATAAAAACCTGTCCGTTTCAAATATTTTGAAACAAACGCAGTATTCAAATGCTGACATTTTCTGCAAAAACTTTGAAAAAAATGGTTTTGACCATCTCTATACTAAATACAGCAAAAGGCAAAAAGTGAAACATATAACTCTACAGCTTGGGACAAAAACGTCATTGCATACAGACCTGAGTGGGCACTCGTAGGATACCAAGGCTTGGTGGCTATCAGCGAATCATGGTCCGTCAGCAACACGGACTTCTCCAGGCTGCTTTAATTTCACAGCCTCTCGGTCTTCCAACGCTGTTCAAACGTCAAGGGACAGTGGCCCTCTGCTTGACTGCTACGTGTGCCAAATTCTGGGGCTTAGCCAATAACTTGTATAGGCTAAAATGGGCGCACCACATTTATTCTAGGAGTTATCTCCACAGAAGGCTAAACGCAAATCTAGCCCACCTGGAAGATCATGCCAGGGCAGGGCACCTAAACCCTGAGAAAAAGCATGGCTTCCACGAGTGCTAAATCTGATGGAGTCTGCGGGGCAGGCAGGATCCGCTTCAGTGGGTTGAGATTCAGGACCAAGCAAGATTTTCTTTGCCGTTGCTCAGAGTTTGTTTCGGGTTTTTTTTTTCTGGGGGAAACCTAAGTAGGTGCTGGCCTGGTTGCCTCCCAGTCCCCCAGAAGCAGAGCAGAGGCTGGCTAAGAGCTGGGGAAGCGCGGCCCCGTTCGGAGCAGCCGGCTGAGGGATGGCTCCTGGCTGCAGCCTGTGGTGCTGCCAGGGCCGCCAGCCCCGGAGACCCCACAGCCTGGGCCGGCAAAGACGGGGCCGGCAGAGCTGTGGTCCACCAGCCCTGTGGAGCGGGGTCCTGCGGCGAAGGCAGATGGGAGCATCCGTCTGTCTCTGTGCTCGCACAGCCATAGTCCTTACCATGCCTGAGAACCCCCCAAAAGCCCTGGCACGTGGGAGATGCACGCAATGCTGCTCCCGAGGGGTGCAGATATGCTCTAAAATGAAGGACTTTGCAAGTTCTCCAAGAGCTAGCCTGTCACTGAAATTTGCAAATGAATATATGTAGCACCTTCCTACAGGTTTATAAGTCTCTCTTTCTCTCTCCCTCTCCGTCTCCACCCAGTCAAGTAAAAATATTCATTTAAAATGAATAAATGCACTAAGTATGCTTTGTCTCCTTTCTTTCTCTCTTTCCCTTCCTTCCTTCCCTCCTTTTCTCTTTCTGTCTTCTCTCTTTCTTTCTGCTTTTCCCTTTCCCTTCCTCCTCTCCTCTTTTCTCTTCTCCACTCTCACTCTCTCTTTTCCTTAATCCTGGCCTGAGGTATTGGTCTGTGAAGTGCAAAAGATACAATTGCAATGCCCTCCAGATGTGAAATGCACTCGGTACTGAGCCCCGTTTGCCTGTGCTGGGTCACATCCTCCAGTCCCGCAGAGCAGTTAGCCAGAAGCCACTTGAAAGGAGTCACCTCCTTACTTCTGGGGAATCAGCATCCTCAAAAAACACTGGCCCGGGTCTGCAGGACGTCCAGCTCGCTTGTATCTCTTGGGTGCACTGAGGAGGAGCGCTCTGGGCAAAACCCTGCTCTGGGTCGTCAGCAAGAGACAGGTACATCCTTTCTTTGCTACGGGGAAAAGGAAGTCGAGATTCCTTCCTACAAATAGGGTAAGATATAAAACCAAGCTGGCACCTGCGTGTTGCTTGCCAGGGAGTGACTTTCTCTCGTGTGACTGTGTGGGGCCAGTTCTGCTGCCTGCCCCCACCCAGCAGCTCCCCGGCTGGGTGCCTTACGCCGCAGCTGCACAGAGGGTCAGCCCTGGCCCTGGCTCCGAGGTGCGTCCTCGGCGCTGGGATGGGAAGGGGGTCTGAGGAAGGGCAACTAGGAAAGAGGTGGGGAGATGCGTCAGTGTTGGTTGACAAAAGCGGACCTCTTGCTTCCTCCACGTACTGTTCACTGGGAGGGGAGGGCAGGAGACGCATCACGATTTTCTGGATGTCTAGCTTATTTTAAAAATCAGATTAAAAGTGGAAATATCGTAAACTTGTAGAGCAAACCCATTGCAGATCACTCCAGCCTCTTTATTGCTGCTGCCCAAATGAGGAGCTGGGTGAGGCACTGGTGCAGGCTGTGAGGGGAGCCCAGGTCATTCCTAGAGGAGGGTGTCCATTTCAGCAACTGCTTGCCTTTTTCCCACGGGTCGCTAATAGCAGAGTGTGCCTCTCCCCCTCTGGAAGGGAGAAGCGGGGGGAAGGCTGCCTTCTGCACGGGCCTCAGGGGTCTATGTCTGCTTTGCTGTTCAACAGAAAAATCCTCCAGACAAGCAAGCAAGAAACCAGAAAGGTTAGATGGCAAGAAAGGTTAGAAGGGACCTTCAGAAGCTACCGATCTTTTTGTCTCGCTCTAGTTTTTAACGCAAGGAGATTTATTTTTTTTTAACACAGCTCCTCCCTGCGCCAGGCTGCCATGATGCCCACTGCCTGGTAGACCCCGGTGTCGGAGACAGCTCTGCCACGTTGAGCCACTGACAAAGGGCAACCAGCCCTCAATGGCTGCTTTAACTCTTTTGGCCAGAAAGACTTCTTCCTCCTCCAAGTCTGGTGGCCAAAGAACTTTTTGTTTATTTTCTCAATGGCCCTTCACCCACGCCCCCTGCCCACAGGCCCTGGGCCTCCACTTAAGCTTAGGACCGGGCTTAGGACCTGCCCAAACCGTGC